AATTTAAATCGTTTAACTACTGGCACAGGAGCTCCCATCGGAGAAAAGACAGCAAGTCTTACAGTTGGACCTAAAGGTCCCATATTGCTTCAGGATTTTGTCTTTACAGATGAAATGGCTCATTTTAACCGTGAAAGGATCCCAGAAAGAGTTGTCCATGCAAAAGGGGCAGGTAACTTCACCTTTGTTTTTTTTCATTTTTCTTTTTTTTCCTATATTCCGCTTCACCACAGAGGACTACCAAATATTTAAACTGGCGTAGAATAGATATCTATTTTGTATATTGATTTTTTTTTTTTTTCAATCAATACTTATTGACCAAATATTGATCAATGCTTATTGACTAAATAGGCTCAAAGCTGAACTATTTAAAGCAAAAACAATAACAAAAATTTAATAATTATATATATATATATATATATATAAATTTATGGCTTATGATCACATCACGTTGAAATATCTGTTGCCATACAATCACCAAAGTTACCAATGTCAAGCCTGATCAGTAACTAGATAAGTGACCACTTGAAAATATTAGATACTGTAAGCTTGAATAAATGGTGTAATGGATAATGGCTCGGAATTGCTAATCCTGTCATAGTTAACTCCTCCTTAATTTCCTAATTGTTCACTAGGGGACGCTCTCCCTACACTATAAATACTGGACAATTTCTTGCCTTTTTACTTTGCATTTCAGTGGACACATTTAAGAAATGTGATCTCTCACAGACATCTGTGATTTTGACCACTTGTGAGAAAATGCCATGAAACACACACACACACACACACACACGTACATTCATCAAAATACAAACTCTTTATGTTCATGCACAAACACAAATGTTGATGTCTTTGTCTATTGTAAATTTTTGTTGTTTAATACATATGTATATATATATATATATATATATATATATATATATATATATATATATGTGGAATAATGTATTATTCCATCTACGACATTTCTACGAAGAAGTTTCCTCCCTTTCTTTCACACTTTTTGGTTGCGACAAGGTGCTTGACACCCCCTTTCTCCCTCGTTAGGTCTAATACAGTAGTAACTGTTTTTGGTCACCAGCCAAGCGACTTGCTATGCAAATTAGATTTTTGAAATCTTGTTGAAAAATTTGTGACGTCAACGACAAACTGTTGTTTCAAAAAAGTCAGTTGTGTTCCAGACTCTGACCTGGGCAGACTCATTTTTATCCATGTCAAAATTTCAGGTTGACTGGCGAAGGAAATAATACTATGCGACCACAAATAATTAATTCCTCGTCCCTTCTGGCTCGTCATTCATAATCATTTTCCCGAGACGATGCAAATACCAAATAATTAATTCTTCGTTCCTTTTGGCTGGTCATTCAAGAACCCTTTCCGAGACGATGCAATACCAGATAATTTTTTCCTCGTCCCTTTTGGCTCGTCATTGAATTTCTTCTACAAGACTATGAGAACACCAGATAATTAATTCCTCGTCCCTTCATTTCGTCATTCAAAAAAATCCTTCTACGAGATGATGCATATACCAAATAATTACTTTTCGCCCTTTTGAGACTAGTCATTCAAAGTTCTACCTGAGTCGATGCAGAACATACACAATAACAATCCGTCGTCCACTTTGGGTCTCGTCAGAAATCTGTTTTGAACCAGTACAAAAAAAAAAAAAAAATATGTACATAACAATAACATTCCACTCATTACCTAAAAACTCGCAGTGAGTATTTTTCCTTGTATGAATATTATCATGTACATTGACTTATCTGGCATCTCCTTCTTCTTCAAGAAACTTCCCGCCTTTAGCCATCTTGTTTTCTATTTTGGCGCTGGAACTTTTTCATTGGTCCCTACCACGGGACAAATTACTTGTTTTTCCTGCATTTAATAAAATTACTCTTGTTGAAACCCAGTCTTTTTTCAGTCATTCGAGGAGGCTATCTTGTTAATATATTTTAATCATGCACGTGTGGATTAACCACATTTCTTCGTTGTTCATCCCGCACATTTTTATTTTTTTTTTTGCTTGTAGACTCGGTAGTTTAGTGTGGTGTCTGGCACAAGGCCACTCAGTATAATCCAGCACCGCACCCTACCGGGTCTGCAACATATATATACATATATATATATATATATATATATATATATATATATATATATATATACACATGTATATATTTATATATATATAGGTCTTGTTTGTTTTCTTTACATCTTTGATTGGACTCATCTTGAGTCTGCCATATTCTTGTAGTAGACCTTTTAATATTCTATCACGTGTTCCTAATTTGACAACACGTAAGCCTACAGTCCGCTACAAGCCGAGTTCCAATTTCCCTTGGGTTCATTATATTCACCTACATGCAAACACACTTATGGAAATGTGTGAATCCACCTCTTCTTCCCCCAACTATGGGTTAATTAGTAAGACTTGTATCACTAAACCATTATTATCACCACCCCCACCACCAAAAATAGTCTTATAATCTAAAAATATTTTCTAGCTTTAAATAACCTGCAAAAGGTTGATAAGCTGTAAAAAAGGAATCAATCAAGCAAGCAATTTATCATTCAATAACAAAATGTATTTTTTAATGTATTTTTAACATTTAGGACTGAGTGAAGGCAGGACTCATTTTGATAACTTTTCTTACAAAAGACAATATATCTGTTTTATTTCCAGGTGCATTTGGTTATTTAGAGACAACCCATGACATCCGAAAATATTGCAAGGCTGCCCTCTTCCAAGAAATTGGCAAAAAAACTAGACTTGCAGTTCGTTTCTCTACCGTTGGTACGTATAATGGGTTTCCCTCTTTTATTAAAATTTACTAACCCAGATGTCATTTTTATAAAAACAGCTTAGAGGTCATATCACATTAAAGCACGATTCTTGTAGAATCACTGAAAATAAGTAACATACCTAGATGAGTAACTGCTTGGGAATACCAGGTGTTGTAAGTTTGGATGTGCAGGTATGGAGTGTAATTCATAATGGCTCAGAATTAGAATTTGGAGAGCCAAGTTCCAATTCCAGTAGGGTTCGTTATATTCACTTACGCATGCTCGGAAATTTTCATCCAACTCGACACTCAACTCTTCCGGTGTACCCATACCCGACTTCCCTCTTAGAACTGAGGCCATATTGAGTGGGTTAAACATAACCCCAACTTTGGTACTGGCGTTATCTCCAATTTAGATCCCAACAAGGCGAGTGGTGGAGATGGGATACCAGCCATTGTCTTAAAGAAATGCGCGACCTGAACTGGCGCCGCCCTTTCAAACTATACAACTACTGCCTCAAGGAATCTTGTTTTCCTGACTGCTGGAAGTCCTCTTTGATCGTTCCTGTCTTCAAGAACTCCGGCGACCCCTCTGACCCTTCCAACTACCGTCCTATCAGTCTCCTTCCCCTCTTCGGCAAAATCTTTGAAGCTCTAATCAATACCGGGGTGGTTAACCACCTCACATCCCATAATCTGCTCTCGGACAAGCAATATGGTTTCCGCTTTGCCAGATCTACAGCCGGTGCTCACAGCCATCACTGAAACAGCCTACCGAACTCTCCAAAATAACGGGGAAGCCCGAGCCGGGGCACTAGATATCTCCAAAGCATTTGATAGGGTTTGGCATGCCGGCCTTCTCCGCAAGATCCAGGGTTATGGCATTACGGGTCGATTATATAACGTAATACAATCATTCCTGTCAAACCGTGAATTGAAGGTCGTTCACAATGGATTCTCCTCCAGTTCCTATCCCATGAACACAGGTGTTCCTCAAGGCTCCATCCTAGGCCCCACTCTATTCCTTATCTACATAAATGACCTTCCTGACGCCATAACTTTTCAAGTCGGCATCTACACGGATGACACCACAATTTATTCCTGCCTCAAAAACAAATCTAGTCTCGCTGACAAAACTCACCTTGCCGTGCGTCTCGAAAAGGACCTCCAATCGATTGTGAACTGGGGCATGAATTGGCTGGTCAACTTCAACGCTTCGAAGACAAAACTGCTCTCTATTAATCACCACAGAGAGCCTTCCCTCCCTCCATTAGAATGTCTGACGCTCAACTTCTCGAGAGCAACTCTCTGTGGCTTCTCGGTCTCATGTTGACTGCTGACCTGAGATGAAATAAATACATCGAGTCAATTGCCTCGTCCACTGCGAGGAAAGTTGGCTCCCTGAGCGCGCTTAGGGAAGTTTTTCTCCCCTGAGTCGATCCTCCAGATATACAAATCCACAATTCGCCCTTGTATGGAGTATTACTGCCATATATGGTCTGGCGCCCCTTCTGTTTGCCTCGGGGTTCTTGATAGGCTCCAGAAGCGGATATGCAATATGGTTAGCCCTGCCCTGGTGTCTCGTCTACAGTGACTTTCTCACAGACGCACCGTTGCCTCCCTCTGTCTGTTCTACAAATACTTTCATGGAAATTGCTCCGAGGAGCTGCATTCGCTGGTTCCCAGACTTCATGAGTTCAAAGCGCCCCACGAGGCTGGCATCCCGCTCTCACCCCTTCACTGTCGAAACTCCCTAAATGTAGCCGTCTCTTCTACTCTAATAGCTTCATGTCTCGCACCTCTCGCCTGTGGAACTCTCTTCCCTTCTCCTGTTTCCTGTGAGTTATAATCTCCAGCTATTCAAGTGTAATGTCAATCGACATCTCCAGTTGCCTTAATCTATCTACTACCCTCATCCTTTCTTCTATCACTCCTATCTGATCTTCCTATTTTCTGTAACCCCTTGCGTCCTAGTGGCTTCCCGCCTTGCTTGGGGTGAAATGCTTAAAAAAAAAAAAAAACATATACCTTTCGGAAAGGCATGAATCCACCTCTTCTCACCCACAGCTATGGATTAATTAGTAGGACTTGTAGCAGTAAATAATTATTATCTCCAAGAAATTCTTAAGATCTCAAAATATTTTCTGACTGGAAAAGGTTGATAAGCCATAAAAAAATCAATCAAATAACACATATATTAAATTCCTATTAATTACAGATAGATCAGTTTGGTCCAGTCCTACCAGTTCTAACCTTCATGGCTAGGATCCACCATGACACACACATTATAGAGAACCACCCTCATTCTCTTTGTATTCCTTTGGGGAGATGTAAATTCTACTTGATCAGCACCTTTCCACAAACTACTACTTTGTGGAACTGACTCCAAAGAGGATGCTTCCTCGATCACAACAATCTTAACCTGTTCAAATTTAGGGTCAACCATTATCTTCCCCACATATCTACATAAACTGTGCCTTTTACTTTATAACCCTCTACCTCAAGTGGCTCTTGGGCCTTGTATTGGGTGAACTTCTTTGAAAATAAAAATAATTTAGATGGCTGTTCCATTTATACAAAACGACATATAAACAACTTAGATACATATTTTTGGTTTTTGTGGAAACTATAAAAAAAAATGACCATAATTTCTCGTGTATAATACAACTTTAGTATAATATTACCCTATGTTTCAGAAGCTAAAACCGGAATGACATCCTTGATAGTACAAGCCATCTTTAGGTAAATTTTTTTTTTTTTAAAGTTGCACTATATTATCCAGTAAAATCTAAATGTCGTAAATATATTTCACTAAAATATTTAATTTTTCATGATATTAAAGAATAGAAATGAACTGGGTGTTTAGCCATTGCGTGTTTCTTCAAATTTCTGTTTCAAAACTTATTTTCAAGGAACAGTTCTTTTTTGTAAGATTAAGGTTATCAAAACATGACAAATCTTGTGTATTTCCTTTATTAAATTTAATTTATTAATTTCATTGAATTTCCTGTCTTTGAGACAAAAAGCATTCATTTACACTGATTCCCAATGAACAAATATTGCCGGCAAATCAAATTCCTTGTGTAAAAAATCGATATCAACATCTGCTAACTTTGTATTTTATCATCTATTGTGCTAAGGGAATGTATTTACAATCTTGCTGTTTCAAATAAGAAGTTTTTCAAGCTAAGTAAAAATTTCTGAAATGGCCTCCATTTTTGGCTTTAATTTTCATTCAAAATTTATCGCATTATACACAAGAAAATACAGTAAACTATCTGGGAATTTTTATAAAAATGATGGAAAATGTGACACAGAAATTCAATGATATATTTGAATAGGAAATGATGCCTTTTAACAACTAAAAAAAAATATTAAGAAACAGAAAAATGACATTGGAAACAAGAAAAATTAAGCAGTATATCAAAAGGTGCATATTTTCTATGAAATTTCTTGAACATTCAGGCCAGTAAATGTAATCAATACGGTTTAATTAAAAAACAGAGCATTTACTTAAATAAATTATATCTATAAAAATAACATATAAACAGAAAATATATGAAATAATTGTCAAACATAATCCTTTTCATAATGTTTCATTGTCTACGTTAAGATATGTTTTATAAGCAGAAATGACGATTCATGAAAAATTGTCGAACAATAATTTTGACTTTGCAAACCAGATGCTTCTCTATGGCTGAATGATTAACAGCACGTCAGATCAAAGGACAGTCCCTCATAAGGGTTACAGGTTTGATTCCTGTCAGAGGATGCATATTTTCTAAGAAATTTCTTGAACATTCAGGCCAGTAAATGCAATTAATACTGTTTAATTAAAAAAACAGAGCGTTTACTTAAATAAATTATATCTATAAAAATAATGTATAAGCAGAAAATATTTATTTATATATATATATATATATATATATATATATATATAAATGGAAGTTGCTTACTGCAATCCTTTTGGAGGATAGGATTTTTATATAACATTAAAAAGGAATATAATATATCATTTCTCCCCAAGCAAGGCAATAAAGCCACTAAAATACAAAGGACTACTGAGAATGAAAGAAACTAAGAAAACATTACTGATGAGAAAGGACTGTCGGAGTTACCTCCTCCTTCAAGTTCGTAACCCTTTCACCAGAGGTCTCTCTTTCCTGGCTATAAATAGCCAATGACCCTTCGGGCTCGATCTCTTTTTTTCCCTTTCAGGCCTGTGCACTAACACCCCGAGGTAAATTCTTCTTCCTAGAGGTTTTCAACTATCAACCTTGAAATGTAGTTGCTAACAAGGGATAGCGTGATCACACACGCACGCACACACAGAATATTCACACACACACACGCGACACATACAGAATATTCACACACACTTTGTCCTTCAGTTACTGTTTCCCTGTATTGTAACTTGTTATGAATATATATTTGTTGTGTATACATATATTATCGGTCTTGTGTTGTTTGCTTTCTTTTCCTTCTTCTTTGGACTTAATCAAAGTCCAACCTTTTTTATGTAGTTGGGCCCGGCGAGCAGGATCTATCTGAACCATACAGGCGTTTCGTCCACGTCTGACTTCTCTCAACAAACCGTAACCGCCAACATAACAGCCACGGCCCACTACAGGACTATAAAAAGAACAGGAATCAAGTGTCAAGTAGGCAGAAGATAATGATTGATGTTGCATTTAAATTTTTAAAAATTGTAGTTGACAAGAAAGCAAGAAGCTGGCAGATATTTTCACAGGTGAGAAGTGCTAGAAAAGAAAACATTGGAATAGAACTTATAGTTACATTTAGCAATTTCATCAGTAAATTATGAAACTTAACTGCCAATCTAGTACTACACTTAAATTCATGAAGTTAAGGTATCAATGAGGAAAGCACATCAGAACACTTACTATGAAAATAGTTATCAAAAACACACAGGGATGCCATGGGAAAGTGTTATAATTTTATATTAATTGTCATTTTATTAAATTCATTGTTATAAACTATACATTATAAAAAATATCACAAAACTAATTATAACACAATGATAAATTTTTTAATTCATTTTAAATGAAGTGTTTGGGACCAACTTATTTTAATAAGTTATAAGTTGCAAAAGGTTTTCACAAATCATCCGGTTCACACTCCTCCCTGGTCTTTTGAACAGGAGTAAAGGTTTATCCCTTTGTTTCCTGTTTATGACTGGGTTTCCAGTTCCTTCTAAAGTCTACTTCAGCTCTATACTCCTAATGCTTGTTCTTTCCTACACTAATAAAAGTCCACATAGTAACTCTCTACTTTGAGTGACTGTTAGGCCTTGTATTGGCTGAACATTAGTTAAAAAGAAAAAACTGTTTGATAGAATTATCCCTGATTATAATTAACAACTTCCTCCACATAATTCAGAACAAATTTTCTAATTAATGTAAACCTTTCTTCTTTATTTGAAACCTTTTTCAATTTGAAAACATTGTTTTTTTTTTTTTTTCTGTCCTCAGGTGGAGAGAGTGGATCTGCAGACACAGCACGTGATCCTCGAGGATTTGCTGTCAAATTTTACACGGAAGACGGTAACTGGGACTTAGTAGGTAACAACACTCCAATTTTCTTCATCAGGGACCCAATTTTGGTGAGTTGACCCTAAACATTTTCACTTTATTCATTTGACAGATCTAACCTACTTATCTTCCAAATATTCTATTCACTAGAAAACTTAGAGGACCGACCTGGATTTATTATTAATGGATTAACCATGATAATATATACCATAAAAATAAGATTGAGTTAACGGTAAATACAAAAGAACTATTAAAACAATGTATCTTTATTTTTGCTATTACTCAATACAAGGCTTGAGAACCACTCAAAGTAGAGGGTTACAGTCAAAAGGGACATGATGAGTACAAGTGGAAGAAAAAGTGATCAAAATAGGGATTATGAAAATAAGGTGGAGAGATAATTAATGTTTGAATTGAAGAGATCAAGATTAAAATGTTCAGGGAAGCACCCACGTGGGAGTCTGTTCCACAGAGTGGCAGTTCTTTGGAAAAATTTTGTCAGAGCAAAACTTCCTTCTTACATTTGGAAGAAATCGACTCTAGAAGTAGCATGGTATGTTCTTGCAGTAAAGATCTGAACTGGTGGAACTAAAAAATGGAGCGCTCATCTGAACATTTGGCATGGAAATAGCAATAGAGTAGTGATATACTTGCAATGTTCTATCTGTGGAAGAGTTTGCAGAGTGGAAAATAAGTCATCACCTACAAGACAACAAAAATGATTTGGAACTCTATCAAGGCTGGAAAGTAATGATTGAGCAGCTCCAATCCAAATATGGCAGCAATATTCCATTTTTGGTCTCATCTGGCTATTATAAAGCACGAGCTAAATATTAATTACAAAATGACAGAATGCATGGTTGTCAACAAAAGAGGCAGACCAATATATAAGTTACATATTGGGGAGGTCAAAATCAAGCCAGTGCAGGAATTTAACTATCTGAGTATTGTAATAGACAAATATTGAATTATGACAGAAATTCAAAGAATAGCAATAACAAAAGATAAATTTCAGAAACTGAATAAGAATTTAAGGAAATGAAAAATAGCATTCAAAGTATAAAGAGTGTGTTAGACTTGTTATATGATGTTTACCTACCAACAATGTCATGAATGCTAATCAATTGTAAATGAAGAAAAGACTTGAAGTGAAACAGATGTGATTTTTTACCAATGAAGACACAGAATGTGACAAATGATGCAGTTCCAAGGAGAATAGGAATTACAAAGAAACTGTTATTAAAAATCAGAGAGTTCATAATAAGGAAGAAGGTTTGGAGAATTTAACACACACAGTATAATAAACACAAGAGAAGCAAAGAAAAGTATCAAGAAACCTGTTTGACAAGTTTGAGAAAATGTATAGAGGGACAAGTACAAGGAGGGTTAGAAAAGAATGAGTAATTCTATGAACAACAAAAGACTGGCAGCTGTGGAGGACCACGATCGTCCATCTCCTAAAGGAGCATGGGACACAGAGAAACAGATATGAGAGTTGTGGACTTAAATAAAATTTATGTATAAGTTTTTCATATGAAAATATGTTAAAGAATTTCATGCATTCAGTGTTGCTGGTCACTTAATTCATCAATTTGTTTTTAATAGCTTATCAATCCTTTGTGTTTATTTAATCCCTGTTGCAGATGCCCGCTCAGACACATTGTTTTCTTTTCAATGCTCACAGAGCCAACCTGTGGTTACTATACCGAACAGACTTTAGTTAGTTTTAGGGAGAGTGTACAATCTGTCACAATAGTTGAACAAGGCTAGTAAACTCAAACACTCTCGGTCATGATGACTGGTGATTGCATGCTAGCACAATCATCAACAGCTTCTGAACGGTATTTCCTATAAAATTTCTTTCACAAAACTTGAGTAAACCTGTAGTATGATCCAGCACTTCCCAATGGTGCTACATGTTGGGAATGTTACCCCCCCCCAGGCCAATATTATCACTTCCTTGACAAATCAATCATGGTAGGATTTGAACCTGAGTCTAATAGTTACAATGCTACTGTCCTAACCATTTAGCTATTTACTCACAACCAAAGACCATGACCAGTAGAATAAGTGCCTCACTAAGGCACTGTATCTGATTTAACTAAGTAGATATCTACATAAATTACCTACTGTAGAGCAATGATTAACAGGCTTGTTTCACAAACAGTTAGAAAAGTACATAGTTTGATCCTCAAAGATACCCCTTGACAATGGTCTCTCACAAGATAAAAGCTAAACTTAGTAATATCAACATTAAGTGTTACATAGTAATGAGATTATATCTATTAAGCATATGATGTCTGATCGAGAAAGTATTCATCTATTTCATATTAATTAAAAAGTAACCTGTCTTGAGCAAATCCAATATAGCTCTCTTCAAACTACATTCTGTTGGATATTTGGCCACACATCCCAGTGTCCATTTCACTTGTAGAATTACCCCACTTGTCTGCCAAGGAACTTCTGTTAACAATCACTAGATAGTGTTACCAAAGCAGTATATAAAACAAAGTGCACAAATTCTCTCCCTTATTTTCTCTTTCTGCCACAGGATGCCTTAGATCTGTGGTTCCCAACATGGGGCGCAGTTTGATTTTTTTAAGGGGATCAATTCAAGAATGAGTTATTAATGGAATTTTTTCTAGTGAATTTGTGTGAGTATATCTGCGAGTTAATACATACAGTGCCTATACAGTATATATACATAAAAATATTTGTGTGTATGTATGTACATGTAATTACATATATACTGCATATATATATATATATATATATATATATATATATATATATATATATATATATATATATATATATATATAAAGTAACACAATATTTATACCATCCTGGGTAAGACGATAAACTGCATCCAGCAGTGGGGCCACTAATTGGGACCTCTTGATTGCTGTTGTTCCTGGGGCTCCCCTGACATGGGGCGGTGGCATCTGTTATGATCCCAGGTGTGGGAAAGTCGTTAGCCCCCAAGCTGGGGTTGGGACGCTGTGAAAGTGTAAAATTGGGTTTTAATACCAGCAATACATTTTTAGAAAAACATTACCAGTAACAAATTTTTAAAGAAAAAAATCATTAGCAGCAATACATTTTTGAAAAAAAAATATGACCAGCAATACATTTTTGGAAAAAAATATTACCAGCAATAAAAATCTTGCCAACATTAAATAACCCATTGAGGTTGATATGCTATAAAACAAAACAAACAAAGAATATTTTTATAAATATTGTAAAATTCTAAAATTAATAATGATACTATTGCATATATGCAGTTGAAAGATCTTAAGGAAAGTTAATTTAATGGCCTTTTAGGCTTCCCCCGCGTCAACAGGAATTCTGTTTTAGTAAGAATTATATGTCACAGCATGGGGTGGGGTCAGGATTTTAGAGATGTTTAAGTGGGGCATGGCTAAAAAGGTTGGGAACCACTGGTTTAGATATAGGACATGTCTCATTTCCCTTTGGGGATGGGGACATTTTAGCCAGTAGCAAACCTAATGTTACCTTCAATAGAAAACACATAGTACACAGTATACAAATGCTCTAAGCTTACTAAACTATACACAGGTATAACTGATAATTCTACCAAGCCCATAAATAAAATAAAAAAAAAAAATTCTTCTCAAATGTCAGTTCCTCAAAATCTGTAATAGGACTTTGCCCACATGTAGGTATGAAAAAGGACATTTCTACACACACGCACACACCTTCTCGTCAAGATCAAGACTTTCATGTGAGTGCCATGCATGGCTCCACGCACATTCAGAAATATCTAAATTGTCAGCTGTATACAACCAATACCTGTCTATATTTCTGAGTAATTATTTACATTATTTACATTGGTGGACTGTTGTCTTCATCTTTATTGTCATATCCACAACCTTTTGGCCATTGTACACTTCGGCCTTCTTCAGGTAATTGGAATTTCGAACTGAAACCTTTATTTCGTCCACGGGGGGGTATGTTGTTCTAGTTCCACGTGCCATGCCTCTTCCTGCTGTCTCCATTATCTACTTTTATATACTGAGACATCTGGAACTAGAACAATCTATGCCAGTGGACAAAATAAAGGGTTTTCAAAATTCTAATCACCCGACAATCACCGGAGCATACAGCAGACGAAACAGCGTGAAAATAGCAATAAAGATGAGGACAACAGTCTGAACAATGTAAATAATGTAAATTAATGTATACAACCACTTTCTCAGATCAATGGTTCAAAATATCTTTTAGCAAGTGGGTTATGGCAAAGACCAACTTTCTTCAAACCTTGTGAACTAGAGCTACAGAATCATAAAGATTTCTACTCTAATCGAAACCACATCACATTTCAACAGCAGCAACAACTAAAATGGATATCACATGTGACTTGAAGAGAAAATAATGATGTAATGAAGATGTTGACATTCCACATAACTTCAAATTGAAATGTTAGGAAGGAAACCCCCATCAATACTAGAAAGAGCCATAACAGCTACTGGACTTGAAAAGCTAATCTTCCTGAAAAATTTTTCTAAGAGAAAGATTTTTTTTAAATTTCCACCAACAGTTGTACTGGCTGCTCAATAAATGAATTCCAAATGTTTCCTTATAAGGAAATGGCTAATGTTAGTATTACCTTCACCATTTCTTATATACTTTCTATTTAGTTTGTTAATTCTGACTTTTAAAAAAATCTTCTAATTTACATTATCAACTTTCTTGCTCTAACAACAGAAAAAAATCAAATGAAAAAAAATCATCATTTATGAAAGCAATGAAAAATATAGTATTATTAAATGAAAAAATGGTATTATTATTATTAAATGAAATGCATTTGATAATTTTAATTTAGATATTTTTTATACTCTGATCCTTACAAAATTCTATTTAACATTTATCAACATTTTGATTCAAATCTGAAAAAGACTTATATCAAATGAAAAAAAAATGAAAAATTATAAAAATAATGAAAAAAATGATGATATCAAATGAAAAAAAATGATATACTCCAATGAAGAAAAAATATATTTTTCAAATGTTTTTTCTCATGCAATAACTTTAGATAAAATATCAGCAATGAAATATAAAATTTATTCTTAGTTTATTCTTTATTATTTTCCTCAGAGTTATTAATCTGATTTGTTTTTCTTAATTTTATGTAATTAATTTGGCTAAGTAATTGCTATAATTTATTTCTTCTAATTCCAGTTTCCCAGTTTCATCCATACTCAGAAAAGAAATCCGCAGACTCATTGCAAAGTATGACTCAAAGCAAAGCCACATTTGCTTCTTTTTTCTTCTTCTAATGATTTCCATTGTTTGTATTTGATATTGATTTATGGGATTACAACCATATATCACATTGAAACACTGGAGCTCGTATGATCACCAAAGTTAAGCAACATTGACCCTGGTCACTATCCAGATGTGTGACGGCTTTGGAATACCAGGGGCTGTGAGTTTGGATGTGTGGGTGGTGTAATGGATAACAACTAGGAATTGGAAATCTGAGAGCCGAGTTCCAATTCCAGTTGGATTTGTTAAATTTACTTACATGCAAATATCCTTGGGAAAAGCATGAATTCATCTCTTTTCCCTAGCTATGGGTTAATTAGTAGAACTTATATAAGTAAATCATTATTAACCACCCCCAAAAATTTTTTACAATCAAAACCAATATTTTCCAGTTTTAAATAACCTGCAAAAGGTTGATAAGCCATAAAAAAAACAAATCAATCAATATTGAATTGTTTGCCTCCATCCAAAAAAGTTATTAAATACCATATTTGCAATTGAAAACAATGGATGATATGATATACAAATCTGTATATCGGATTCTTTCAAAAAGGGTACACTTCAGCTGTGGAGTAGAGGGCCATCACTTCAACACAATGGGTGTTGCGAGCAAGTAGGTTTTTTAGTGACTGAGTTGCTAACACTATGCCCAACCAGTTTTGCATTGAAAGTTGTTCTTCTCCTAGACTGGTTTCCAACCAAAGCTGAAGATCCCAGTCTGCCTAAGTATTTAACCCTTTCCCAGGAGTATTTTCATGGAAGCATGACTAAGAATTTCATGCACAATGCAATCTTCAGATGCTCAGTAGAGACTGACCTTTTGCATAATTTAAATTTTAATAAAAATATCTGGTTATCTGGTGCAGTCCATATATTATACGGAGAACACAGTTTTTTATTTTAAAATTATATACAGTGATCCCTCGTTTATCGTGGTAGATTGGTTCCGAGACCGGCCGCGATAACTGAATTTCCGCAAAGTAGGGACGCCATATTTACAGTATTTATTTAACGTGTATTTGGACATTTAAAACCCTCCCTGTACTGTTAACAACCCACAGATTACAGTACTCTATTAATAACAAGGACAACTGTTAAGCAATAACATTTTAGATTAAAAAAAAATAAAGATTGTTACTGTATTCAACACGAAAGAAGTTGAATTAGAATTTGAATGATGATGGTGATGAATTTGCTGCACAGTAGAAATGATGATGATGAAGCTGATGATGACTTCTACTGTGCAGCCGATAATTGTATTTTACGTCTCTTCAGATGGCGATGCCATTTCTATTGCTATTTTACGCCTTGTTTTGTTGTTCCTAGACCAGGAAATAATATTTATTATTAATATTTTAATGGGTTTAATGAAAAATTTTAGGTGTTCATATATCATGATTTTTCTAGAATTTTCCAGAAACTCCACGATATATTTTCCATATATGTATTTTAAAAATCCGTGAAGTTGTGAATCTGTGATAGTAGAACCGCGAATTAGCGAGGGATCACTGTATTGCATTTAAAATAGACAGGATTTTTATTTTATATTTAATATTTTATTTTATATTTAAAACAAACATGGATTAATGGTATTTATAAAAAATACATATTAAAATGGATGGACCTAAAACTATATGAAAAAAAATATTAATTTTTATTTAAAGTTTGGATTATTACATAAAGGGGGATTATTAGGTTCTGTTAAAAAAAGATTTATATAAAAATGCATAATGTTTTTCCATTTTTTTTCACTCGGTTACCCACAATTGGAAATAAATTAAGTTGAACTTATGCATTTTAAAGAAATCATCTGCATAATGATACATGATTTAATATCCTAACACTCACCTATATCAACCAGCAAATAAATATCTTAATAAATAAATGATAGATAGTGGCTCGGATTGAGGAATCAGAGAGCCAAGTTCAAATTCCTGTCAAATCCATTAGATTCACTTACGTGCAAATATGCTCGGGAAATGTATGAATCCTTTTCTTCTCCCCTCAGCTATGGGTAAATAGCAGGACAGACCAAGTTATATAGCCTTGGATAGTAACTGGTCTACCATAGAAAGAAATGGTAACCTACTGCAGGAAAAAAAATCCGCCTCATCCGTTATGTATTGAAAGATACATGATCGCCTAAGTGTGTATCATGCATGGCACATAACTGACTGAATGTTATGTACTTATTAACAGTAAATTAATAATGAATAAGTAGATATCTTAATGCATGAATGTAATTGTTATGGTCCGGTTCCTTGTACCACGGTGATAGTCCAAGGTAGAACCAATAAAGAAGAACTCAAACACAGGTATGGAATAACACGGATATATTACAAACAGGAATATATACAGAGAAGTAGAAGTGTTAGTATGAACAATCAGGTTTAGTAGAGAGAACAATGTAGTCTCGACCAGTATCACTATTCCAATGTCTTGCAGTAATTGTCTGAACGCACCTCAGTTTTGGACTGCCTCTGACTCGACTCAACTTGAACTACTGACGATATTCAGTCACCCCCCCACTGGGGCAGCATGTGACACAAGGTCAGTTATTTATTGTGGGTTCTCCGAGTCCGTGGGCTCGGCCCCAAAATATACCTATTGAACCCGTAAAAACAGGTTCATGGCCGGTTTACCTCCCCAAAAGAGAATCCGCCCTTCGGCGTAGCCTCCTTTGGGTTCCTCCCCGCCCGAAGGCAAAGAGTCCAACCGAACAGTCGGTCAGGTGGTGAACGACTGATGATATTCAGTTCCCCCCCCCACTGGGACATCATGTGGCACAAGGCCGTTTTTAACGTGGGATATCCGAGCCTGTGGGCTCAGCTGAAAAATATGCCCATTGAACCCATATAAACGGGTTCAAGGGCAGTTTACCTCCCCGAAAGAGACTCCGCCCTTCGGTGTAGCCTCCTTCAGGTTCCTCCCTGCCCGAAGGCAGAGAGTTCAACCAAACAGCCAGTCAGGACTTGAACGACTGACAATATTCAGTCACCCCCACCACTGGGGCATCATGTGACACAAGGTCAGTTATTTATTGTGGGTTCTCCGAGCCTGTGGGCTCAGCCCAAAAATATGCCCATTGAACCCATATAAACGGGTTCCGGGCCAGTTTACCTCCCTGAAAGAGAATCCGCCCTTTGGCATAGCCTCCTTCGGGTTCCTCCCCACCCGAAGGCAGAGAGTTCAAACGAACAGCTGGTCAAGACTTGAATAACTGACTCCTTGCCTACTCCTGAGGCACAGTATTTATTAAGTATGGAATAGTCCATTATTATTATTATGGGTAAGATCCCATAACAGTAATGTTAGTGATATCTGAGAATTTGAGATTACGTTTTTCATATGCAAAATAATTTTGTAGTCTCTTCTAGACTACATACACATTAAAGAAATTCAGTGTCATTTACAATAAAATCAAACATTATCATTTACTATGTCCTTAATGCTTAAAAAAATTTAATTTTTCAATCTGACAGGATGTAGACATGTTTTGGGATTTTATCACACTACGACCAGAAACAACTCACCAAGTATCATTTTTGTTTTCTGACCGAGGAACTCCCGATGGTTACCGCCACATGAATGGCTATGGCAGCCATACCTTTAAGATGGTTAATGACTTTGGAGATGCAGTATACTGTAAATTTCATTTTAAGGTAAGGCTCCCAGAATTCTAATATATTTTGAATCTGTCTGAAAATTAGTTGCTCTATTCATGAATATATAATTAATATTTCCAAGTAAGTATTATACCAGAAATCCTTTCAGGATGGACAGAAAGTTAAGGAAAGACTTGAGAAATTTAGATGCACATACACACACACACACACTTATATAAGATTTAAAAATTGGATAAGGATTTACCTTAAATTAATTTCAGAAATGGCTACATGAATCTTTTGCTTTTGAGCCATTATGAAAATAAGATGAAAATTTACCTTAAATTCAATGCAGAAAAGCCAAGAAAATTGTAAAGATAATAGAAAAGAAATAACGTTTTTACAAAAGTCGCACTATTTTATTCCTTCTTTCATTCCAAGAAACGCCAGCTTAGCAGAAAAAGTATTAATGATTTATTATTTAAGCAGACACACACATATTTCTTTCTTTCATATTTGATCTAATGAAGCTTAGTAAGGGTAAAATACATAATCTAGTTTCAATGAAATGATTTTTGATTTGACATATTCTTCAAACTTTGTCTTGATTCTGTATCCTGTTTTATTCACATAAGATTGAGCTAAAATAAATTAAAGCAACTCCTCAGCTAGTTTACATTCAGCTTATCATGCTGCAAGCACCAAGATTATAATATAATAATAATCCTAACACTTTTATAGCCTGATGAGCTGAAGGGCAAAGGTGAACTAGCCAACAAGTTGTTATAATTAATTTAAGTTATATCTTACTGTAATGAAAAAAGTACACAGGTGTAGGCTTCAAGAAAGCTTTATTCAACTGAGAATACAAGGTTTGTATATAGTGTTTTTTATAGTCCCAGTAAACAGAAATAACTCTCTCAAAGAGCAGAGTAACAAAACAAGGGGAGACCACTCTTGATTATTCATAATACTTATAGTGCTCTGTTTCCTTTAAATCATTGAGCATGTAGGAAACTCAGTTATGCAGTTTTTTTATTAAAAATCCAAACACCTGAATTCCCAAACAATAAAATAAAAATAAAGAAAACCTGGTTATGCCTGGTAAATAAATTGTTTGTATTTACAAACATATATACATGAATTCAAAAAGGAGTAAAAATAGTCTTAAGTCTTTAAGTAGTTGGTCCACAGAAAAATCTGAAGTTGAGAATAACTTTTATTATAAGTGATGATTCACTGACCACCTTTGTTGTTGTAGCTGATTCATTTGAAGTCCTGTCCTGGGTATGACAACAAACTACATCCGTGTCCTGGGTATGACAACAAACTACATCCGTGTCCTGGGTATGACAATAAACTACGTCTGTGTCCTGGCTAAGACGATAAACTATGTCCAACAGCAAGGCCTCTGATCACGTTTTGAGGAGCGTGGAACCACCTCTTAATTTCTGGTGTTCCCAGGTCCACCCTGACCTGGGGTAGTAGCATCTGTTAGGGTCCCAGCTAAGGGCAAATAGTTAACCCCAAAACTAGGGTAAAAACACTATGAAAGTGTAAAAATAGGTTTTAATACCAGAAATATTTTGTAAAAACTGAGGTTGAATTGCCATAAAACAATACAACCAACCAATCAATCATTTGAAGTCACCAATGCGTTTCTTTCCACATGTGCTGTGGGGAGACTGTCACATCTTACTTCTTTGAAAGTTGAAATCTGTGGGATTTTATGAGAAAATTTTCCCAAGAGTAGGCTCAAGAAAAATAGGGTCTTAGTTTTTTTCTGATTGGTCAAATATTTCACATTGATTTAATCAATGTGTTGTGGAATCTTTTTGGTATATTTGTAAATATTTTCTATTATTGGGTAAAAAATAAAGTTTGCATATGTTTTAATTTGGTGTATATGTGGGTATGTAATTGTGTTGGAAAACAGGTTTATTTCTCATAAGCAGTTTATCTTATATTTGACATTTTTATGTGCTTTGCAGAATTAAGGTGTCAAATGTTCTTTTTATATACCTATTAATATATATGACGTATTCAACAAAAAATTGAAAATTGCTTTTTTCACTGCAAACTATTCATTATATCATATCCAAATATATTACAAAAATAGAGTTTATTATACAATATTTCAAGCTCAGTTTAGGTTTATAGTTCATAACCATGCAATGAGATGAGGTAACATAAATTGTAGATTTGTCTGTGGAATATCATTACATTATTTTTACATAATTATATTAAAATCATTAAGGTATTTTGTGAAAAGCACTTTATTTTTGGTCGAATATTAATTTAAAATATTCCTTTTTACAGGCTTTATTTTTTAAATGGAATAAGATCATTATAAATTTCAGAATGTCGCTATTGCCCATCAAAATGACTGGAAGAAAGCGATCTAAAAACAACACTCGAAAAGGGAGGTAACAAAGCATAAACGAAATAGCTACAGTTTGTTCAACTTAGGAAACTTAGCATTGCAGCCAAAGTATTCTAAAATGCTGCCAATAACAAAGGAGAAAATGAAAAATACCCAACAACAAATCAAATATAGCATCAGAATTTATATTATTTTTATTTATTTGTTATGTAACTAAATACATAATTGGCAACAATATTTTCATAAAACTTGATATTTCCTGTAATAAATTTTTAATAAATATTATTATTTTTATTAATTTACTTAAGTGTAAGGTAGTCTTAGATTTACAATTCCTTACAGCTATGAAAGGAAATGTTGATCAAAACTGCATAAAACCTTTAAGCCTGTATTGCCGCAAAATTATCACATGTTGAATACATCTCTCCTCTTTTGAACACATCATATGTGCATAAATTAGAATCCATGATAAGATAAAGAACAAATGGAAAACGTTTATAAATTTATCATATTTTATTTTTATTTAAGCTTCATCAGAATTTTTTTTTTTGGAAACGAATTATATAAGAGAAAGTTTCAGTACTTTTTGAGTTCTGTGTTGTTTCTCATTGGTCAGGGATATGTCAGGTGTCTTTGTGGAGTCAATGTGTTTAATGGCCACTAGAATCCAAACATAGACACGTACACACATTAACACTTTTGTACTTCATCAATGGGAATCAAGGTATTTTGATAATTTGCTTTACTTATTCATTTACTATTTCTGTTTTATAGTACAGAGTGCGGCAGAAATACATCTCATGTATACCTCCCAGATAATTGTAAGAGGTATATGTGGGAGGTATTTCTGCCACACCCTGTGCAAGACTGTATAAAGATTTGCTAAATTAGCATGCTGATCTCGATGCGATCTGATGTACCATAACAGTTTTATTTGCTGTGGGACTGACCACTTTTGTTGCTGGGTGTGGACGTTTTTCCATAAACATTTAATAGCTGCTGGTATATTTGTCCTGCCAACAATATTTGGAGGACTCATGTGAATCCAATAAAAATAAGTAACAAAACATGGTTCTTAAACAATTAATGCATGTATTAACAGAAAGTACATCAATGTGTACACAATTGAAAGTAAAGGAAAAGATATTAAAAAAAAAACTTGGCTATTAATAATGTTCTTATTTGTATGTGATACACATGTATGAGAGTTCAGCTGTCAGTCGACTGGGGAAATGAACATGTCCCAGTGGGCGACATTCTCATCTACCATTTACTACATGTTAGAGGAAGTGGAAGGAAATGTTTGTCTTTTTATAGAGTTAAACAGCGCCACCTAATGGGTGTTTGACAAAGCCAAGTAGAGTAACCTACATATTAAGACTTAATTATTTTGTCATGTTCCTAAACTTCAAGGAAGTGAAATTCCAACAACTTCTTCAAATATCATTCGTTTTCATTCTTCATAAAATAATTTGCTTTCATTTTAATCTTGATTGGTGGAATCTAACAATGTTGATCTCGATTGGTGGAATCTAACAATGTTGATCTCGCTTGGAGGAATCCAACAATGTTGATCTCGCTTGGAGGAATCTAACAATGTTGATCTCGCTTGGAGGAATCTAACAATGTTGATCTCGCTTGGTGGAATCTAACAATGTTGATCTCAATTGGAGGAATCTAACAATGTTGATCTCAATTGGAGGAATCTAACAATGTTGATCTCGATTGGAGGAATCTAACAATGTTGATCTCGATTGGAGGAATCTAACAATGTTGATCTCGATTGGTGGAATCTAACAATGTTGATCTCGATTAGAGGAATCCAATATGTTGTAAAGTTTTTAATTGCTTGATTCATAAAAGATTTAAAAAATAGTAGACTTTTTTTTATTTAAAATTGTTATCTGTGTTATTTATTCTTATAGACAGATCAAGGCATCAAAAATCTGATGGCTGAAGAGGCAGATCGTTTGGCTGGCTCTAACCCTGATTATGCCATACAAGACTTATACAACAGCATTGAAAATGGTAACTTTCCATCTTGGACACTTTATATTCAAGTCATGACTTTTGAGGAGGCTGAAAATTACCACTTGAATCCATTTGATTTAACCAAGGTGAGTGAAGAAAGAGATTTTTTAATAGCTGACTTTTCTTTTCTAGATTTGTGTAAGGTTAAATTTTTTCTGTTTCCCCAATTTACATCAGTAGAATAAAACGGCCCAGTACAGCAAACATGTAATAATATTATGTACATCAAATGATGAATGTGCCATGAAATTGGGGCAAAAGAAGAACTGATTGTTATCTGTCTTCTATTTACCTTAGCTAATCACAGCCCCTTGTCAAAGAATTTTTTCCTCAAAACATTGCATTCTTACTTACCATTTGTACTACAATCACCAAAATTCCATGATTTCTCCATTAAACTGATAAGACCCAAAATTTTCACCAATCACAATGCCTTGATTGCCTATTATGATTTAAATTCAACCCAGACCTCAAGAAGAACTTTTACATATGATGCATTACTAAATATTGCTGAAAAAATGGTTAGTTCCTTGTTCCATTAACTACCAGGTCACAATTCCAATTCTCCCTGAGTGCCTTTTAAGTTTTCTAGGTGGTGTTTTCAAGTACTCCCATTACTACAGGAATTACTTTAATGGTCATATTCCATAGATTCTTCAACTCCCTAACGAGATCCTGGTATTTTTCTATCTTTTTGGACACTTGCTATTCTCCTTATCTATAACAATATGGTTTGGTCTTTGTGCTTGAATGACACAATCTGTATGAACTGAGAAACCCCATAATATCTTGTGACGGTCATTTACTACCATTGCCTCTGGCTCATGTTCATACCTTATTATTACTTTTATTATTATGCCTATTATTAAACTAAATAAAAGGAGTGACATAAATCTTCCAATATTTTTCAACATTTAGAGAAGAGTACAATTTAAGAAAAGCAAAACTGACGTAATGGATAGCAGCTTGGATTGAGGAATTGGAGAGCCGAGTTCGAATTCCAGTTGAATCCATTACATTCACTTATGTGCTAATACCCTAGGAAAAGGTGTGAATCCTCTTCTTCTCCCCCCAACTATGAGTAAATAGCAGAACAGACCTAGTCTGTCTACCACAGAAAGAAATGGCAACCTACTGCAGGAAAAAATCTGCCTCATTAGTCATGTATCGAAAGATACATGATTGCCTAAGCGTCTATCACGTATGACACATAACTGACTGAAAAGAAAAGAAAATGTTCAACAATTTTTCAATTGAAATGACAATATATTGAACATTGTCAAAGACTATCTATTTTTTTAAATTTTCTTTTCTTAAATCATACTATTATTAAATATTTATAAATACAAATATACTTATAAAAGGTCTGTCTGAAATGTAACAGGACTAGTATCACAAACAATTTATTTCAATTCCAAATAACAAACTACATTCAAAGAAATCACCCTCAAGTCTAATGCACTTTTTCCTTTCTTCTCTGCTATGATTCTATGCACTGCTCAAAGGATTCTTCTTGTGTGCCCCTAAGATCCATTGTTACATCTATCTTGATGGCCTCCATGCCTTCAAAACAGGTCTTCTTGATGATCTCCATGAGATTTGGGAAAAGAAAAAAGTTACATGGAGTAAGATCAAGTGAATAGAGTGGTTTTTCTATTACAGCAAAGTTCTTGACCAGAAACTGTTGGATGCTTAGAGCGTTGTGAGCAAGTGCATTGTCATGGGGAAGCAGCAACTTGTCCTGTCACAATCTTGCATGTAAAAAAATGCAATAGTTGCAGAAAGCTAAGATTACAGTTATATCCTCCCAAGATATCATGTTAAATGATAACACACTCTGCTTATCCCTCATGCTATTTAAAGGCAAGAAGATTTTAAAATGGTTATCTTCATTTTAACATTAATATGATCAAAATATCTGTTTTGTGCAGAGCTGTGGATTCAGTCAGAAGCAGTTAAAGGATCACTGGAGTTCGAGTCGATAAAACTATACCAATTCCAATTCCAGTTGTATTTACATTTAATGAAAAAGTCTTACATTATAGAGTTTTTATTTTTATTGTTATTTCTTCTATTTTCTTTAAAAATAATTAATCTCAACTTCTTTTTTAAAGTCATTTTAATTTTTTGTAGTTGTATTTGCAAAACTATATATGTAAAAAAAATCTTATAGAATTTTCATTTTTGTTATGTCTTACATCCTGTAAAAGATTATATTTCAACTTCTGTCATAAAGTAGTTTTATTTTTGTTCTATACTTATTTACAAAGATATATATACAATGTAAGAAGTTTAACATTATAGCATTTTTATTGTTATTTCCTCTATATCCTTTCAAAGATTTTGTCCTCTAATTCTGTTAGAATGAATAGCTATATAATCCACAATATCTTTATTCTTTGATATAAATCAGTTATAATGATATAGGCCTACTCAAGATAGAAGTGTATGCAGAGGCTTTGAGATTTGTAGAGCATAATCACTTAATTACATAAAGTAGAGTCAGAGGTGCCAAAAATAGACGAGTCAAAGTCAAACATTTTGTGTTCCAACTCCACAGCCCTAGTTTTATGACAGATTCTTAATCATTTCTCCATCAGTTCTATCTGTCTGTATTACTACTCCTGTACAAGCCAGACCTAGCATCTCACTTCAGTCACTATCCTGTTGCTGTAAAGTTGCCTCTCTCTGCCTTTTCTATAAATACTTTCATGGCAACTGTTCAGATAAGCTCTTTGACATGGTACCTAGAACTTTTTAATTTAAGTGCAGTACTAGATTGGCGACAAGGTCTCACCAATTTTACAGTTGACTTGACTTCATGTTACAAAGTTCTATACTGACAGTTTCTTTTCTTGCCTTTTCTGGCTCCATGCTTTCCAGCCAACTTTGACCTTCAAAAACTTAAATGTAATGTCAATGACTTTCTACTGTCCTCCTGATTACTCTTTTTTTGTTCTTGCTTCTTAGTGAAGTTTCTCTTTTCTAATTTTTCCATTCAGAGTAACATCTTGCATCTTAGTGGCTTTATTGCCTTGCTTGGGGTGAACTCTATTAAAAAAAAATAAATAAATAAATTATTAAATAAAATGTAATTTTACTGTACATTTTTAAGAATGAAGTAGATAAACAAGAACGGAAATTATTTATGACTCAACCTAATATATACAAATACCCGTGATGTATTTTTTAAGACTTAAGATCATAATAATTTTGACTTGGTAATAATTTCACTCATATTGAATAACAAGTAATCACATTTTACCAATTATTATATTATTATGTAGTAATTCTAGAAGGATCAGTACATTGTTAATAACAATAGAAATCCGATCCCCCATACTTCATGTCATTGTTCTCTCCCCTTAACAGTGTTTTTTTTTTTTTTTACCTCATATTCTCTAACACTCAGTAACCCCCTCCCCCTGCACCTTAGTGGCTTTATTGCCTTGCTTGGGGTGAAATGATTAAAACAAAATACTATTTTGTGTATGACATCCTTTCTCTTAGAACAATTTCATATGTGAAACTTTAAATATATATTTTCTAGTTATGTGTCTTTTCTTTTATTATAAATTTATTTGTGTGTATGTTTTTTAATATTGTTTTTTTTTTTTCACTGTCCAGCTTCAAAAGCATATTGAAACAATTTTCCATTGTCATAACAAAACAGTAACTAACACTAACAAAATTAAAGACTAAACACGAGTGTAAGTCAAAAATTATCCTCACTTTCGCCATGACATATCTTTAAGTTTGTCACACTGTCATCTGCTCATTGGTACTTATAGTTGGTACTATTGTGGTCATGTGAGTGAAGTTTGAGCTTGATCGAGCCAGTTTTATTGCTGCTGTTACAGTGTAAACATGGCCACTCCACTAGCAGTGTGCATTAAGGAGGAACAAAGAACAGTAATCAGATTTCTCTGGTCAGAATGTGTGTCAAGGCTGAAATTAATTGTGTATGTGTAGATTAAGAAGTTTAAAATTGGCTAGACAAGCATGATGCAGGATGCCCGTCATCCTCCACCATTGATGAGAAAATTCAGCAAGCTCGAGAGATGCTAAAGGCAAGCCAGCAAGTTATCATGAGGTAGCATGTCTTCTGCAGATTCAGATCACTACTCTTTGTTCCTCCTTTGTGCACACTGCTAGCAAGAAAACTGGCATGATCAAACTCAGACTTTGATCATGTGACCACAATAGTAGCAACTACAAGCAGACATAAGTAGAAAGCAGTGTGGCAAACATAAAGATGTTATGGCTAAAGTGAGGATAATCTTTGACTTACCATCATATATACAAGTATACATGGTGTATTTTTTAATAAGATGCCTGAAGATCATAGTAATTTACCTTTTGGTAACAATTTCACTGCAACTGAATCCTTTGTATATTAATGAGGATTTCTCCAAGTCGTCAAATTATCAAGACCAAATTAGATGACAAAGATGTTGTTGCAAAGTATATCTTTGGCTTTTATTTCATTCGTTCTTGTTGTTTCTTTTCCAAGGTGTGGCCTCATTCTGACTATCCTTTGATTCCTGTTGGACGGATGGTACTAGATAGAAATCCCAAAAATTATTTTGCTGAAGTGGAACAGATTGCATTTTCTCCTGCTCACATGATTCCAGGTATTGAACCCAGTCCAGACAAAATGTTACAGGTAAGAATGATATATACATTTCATAAGAACTGAAAGATGAAGGAGAGATTTGAAGCAACAGGAATGTGGCTGTACAGACGGGTGCTGAGGTACCATAGACCGAATATATAAGTAACGACAAAGTTTTAGAGAAAATGAAAACAAAAAGAAAACTTATACTTAACATCAAGAATAGACAGTTGAAATTTCTAAGGCACATAATGAGGAAAGGGGGCTTGGAAAATCTGATACTCACAGGACAAATTGAAGGCAAGAGCACCTGTGTTCCAAATTGTTAAAGTGACTATATCATAGCGACATATGCTGACTAGAAGCTATGTTGTTCAGTGGTTTGGCTGAGTGTAAAATGCTGTGCCTTAACTTTAGCCTCTTTGTCACTGGTTCATAGCCATGGAGTGAATGACAAGGATCAATTTCCTGCTTCAACTACTCTAGTTAGAAGTGGACGGACCTTCTTATGTAAGGGGGAGCAATGCCACTAAGCAAGTAGAGGTTATCTACTTTGGTTGGCTTGAGACGCCCAGTGATCAATCTGCAAGGTATGGTCAATTTTCTGTTAAAGTAGGTTATGCACTGTTTTTACTTTTCCTGTAAATGTCATATTCTCCAAGACCTCTTTTCTCATTATGTGTCCCAGAAATTTCAACTATCTCTTTCTGATCCTTAAGTACAAATGTCTTTTTTTGTTTACGTTTTTCTTAATAGATCTTCGTTGCTCACATACTCCACCCATGATATTCTCAGCATCCTTCTGTAGAAACACATTTCTGTTGCCTCAGGTCTTCTCTTCATATATATATATATATATATATATATATATATATATATATATATATATATATATATATATATATATATATATATATATAGTTAGTTTATGCAAATTTAGGTAATCCGTATGGGTAAACCTGAGGAGGATGATATCCAGAGAGCTCAATGTAAAATTCAGAGCAGATATGTTTGAATAAAAGACAGATGACGTTAAGATTCCATGTAATAAGCTATTTCACCATAACCCCTTTAACAGGGTTCTGGATCATCAGACTTTAAAATTCAGCTTTTGGAAGTAAAGTCTGATGATCCAGAACCCTGTTAAAGGGGTTATGGGTAAAAATAGCTTATTACGTGGGTCTGTCTTTATTCAAATATATATATATATATATATATATATATATATATATATATATATATAGATATTACATAGTAGTTGAGCACCTTCTTTAACAACTGAATCTATTGAGCCAAAATTGATCCTTTCAATTTTCCAAATCGTGAATCATTTTTACTTAATCAAATTCTCTGATCCCTTGACTACATACAACTTATTTACTCAATTTAATATCCTGTGAAAAAAATATAAGCAATTATTATTAAATAATTGGTCTTTTATAGGGGCGTTTATTTTCCTACTCTGACACACATCGTCACCGCTTAGGCTCCAACTACCTCCAAATTCCAGTCAACTGTCCTTTCAAGGCCAGAGTCAGCAATTATCAAAGAGATGGCCCACAATGTGTTAATGACAATCAAGGTAAGAGCTTTTTATATCTTTTTTTTTATCTGTGTCTTTTCCTTATTTTCCATATTTTTGGTGTGATTTGTTTTTTTTTGTTTTTTTAATCTCCCAGATATGTTTAGAAAGCATTGTGTTGTTTGCATATTTACTATTTGTAAAGGATGTTTTGTGTGTGTAGTTTCTTCGTTTCCAGGTTCCTCAGTTATTGCTATGTATATTTTTTCTTTGTTATCTGCTGATTTTACACTGGCTTTGTATATTACATTGTTTTGCAAGCAATTGCCTTTTGAGGGTTTTTATTTATTTATTAAGTAGTGTATAATACATCTGTTGGTCTGCATAGTTGAGAAATCTAACTAACCATGGCTAGAGACCAATCTATCCTACTATTTAAACCGCAGCTGGAGGAAAAGAAGATATGGATTCATACCTTTCACAATGGTATTTGTTCAAAAGTGAATGCAACAAAGTCTATGTAGACCTAGGTATGACGATAAACTACATCTAGCAGCAAGGCCTCTGATTGGGAGATTGGTTGTTTTGAGGAATGTGGAACCACCTCTTAATTGCGTTTTTTCTAAGATACACCCTAACCCAGGGTGGTAGCATCTGTTAGTATCCCAGCTATGGACAAATCATGAACTCAAATTAAAAACCAAATGCTATGAAAGTATAAAAATACATTTTAATAGTAAAAATACCGGTAATACATTTTTATATAAAAAAAATTACCAACAATCCATATTTATAGAAAGATTACCAACAATACAAAATGACTAGCAATAGATTTTATCTGTAGTTGAAGGCATGCAATTGTATTTCAGCATTAAATAACCAATAAAGGTTGATATGCCACTAAACAAAATCAACCAAACCAAACTTTATGGGATTTGAAATCTGCTTGCTGATTTCTCATTCTGAGCCACTAACATTTACACCACCTGCACAAATATATATGTGTGTGTTAGTAAAATATAGAATCATATCCGAACAAAAGTGGAGAAATGAGTCAAAATTGAAAATCATTTTTTTAATAAAGATATATTTTGCCTATCTAGAAATCTTTAAAAAAAAAAAAAAGACATGATCATTGCAGATATATGCTGCATAGCACCAATTTAAATGCACTAATAGTTCAGTACAACACATCTGGCTACAATTTCAACTTAGTCGCTGACAATCTGATCAGTAGAGAAAAGGTTTCACTATGAGGAAAGTGCATTGAAAGTGTGCTGATCTCATAATTCTTAATGATAGACCTAAGAACAAACTCATATCACTGATATTAGCAAAACAGTATGCAAGCTAGTAAAGAGATTAACAGAGATCTACTCAGAATGGGTTAATTTCAAATACAACAAATATTAACAGATTCAATACAAAAAATAGTTCTTTCATTCTGACTGGAAGATGCTAACCTTGCAAACAGACGTGAATAGCTTTAATACAAGAAACACACAACTTTGTCTTTCATCTAAACTTGATGACATCAACCTAGCATGCAGAGAGTAAATGTGTTGTCATTAAAAAAGCTTTACCAATTTGCGACATTTCTCAATCTCAATATATGTGTGTGTGTGTGTGTGTGTGTGTGTGTGTGTGTGTTTGTATAATATATATAAAAGTGAACATTAAATTCAACACTCAGAGGTGACAGGTTGTTTCATGCTAGACGCAATCGTCAAGTTTCAATGTTCACTTTTATATTTATATTTACATACACTCTATCTCTGATATTGAGCACTTTATCCCATAAATAGAGTACACTTTAAAATTATATTTCTGTGTTATATATATAATTTCGATAAACGTGCAATCAATTTACAAATTCATGAATTATTCACACAAAAACAAATGCAAAGGTTAATGATTTAATTGGCGAGAAATCCATCGTCATTAAACAATTCAAATAATATACAAAAACCTCCGAACCCGTTATGAATGAAAAGATCCTTGTTTCTATAAATTTCTGCCGCATTAGTTCTTATTTTTACTACAAGCTTTCGTCTGTTCCTACAGACATCTTCAGGTATGGAATAGATGTTGTTCTTGTTTTTTTCTCTCAGTAATAAGAGGACAACGAAAATATATGTATTGTTGTATCCGAAAATGCTATTGGAAATGAGTTATTATTTTTGGAGCGTGCAGTAGCAACGCTGAGTTTGATTTTAAATTTTTACAAATAATAATTTATAATTTATAAAAACAAGGATCTTTTCATTTATGACGGGTTCGGAGGTTTTTGTATATTATTTGAATTGTTTTATGACATTTATGGATTTCTCGCCAATTAAATCATTAACCTTTGCATTTGTTTTTTTGTGAATAATTCATGAATTTGTATATATATATATATATATATATATATATGAAAAATGTTTTTGAATAGTTTTACACACAAGGAATTAAGCAAGGATCGGATTTTTACTAATAATAGCATCTACAACAAATTCACACCAGCCTCAATAACCACTGTTTCAATGTTTATTTCTTACACCGCTGATGAAGGAAAAGCATGCCTGAAAATTCTAGACTAATAACATTAATCTCTGTGCTTCATTTCTGTCTTGTGGTTAGTAATTAATATATAATAAATTCCTTTTGCACTGATTAAATTGGTACCCTTTTGTTTTCTCTTGTTTTAATAACCTACCTATCTATTTTAAATACTACAAGAAGCACACATGGACTCTTTTTTTTCTACACAGACACATATATATATATATATATATATATATATATATATATATAAAAATCTACCTTTTGCCAGTGCAATGAATATTGCTGCCATATCTGGTCTGGTGATCCTACTATATATTTCAAGATTCTTCTTGACAAAATTCAAAGAACAGTCTGCAATGTAATTGATCCTAACTTGGCATCTCAACTTCAGTCACTTCCTACAAATATTTTCATGGCAAATGGTTTGATGAGCTTTGCTTCTTGATGCCTTGACTACATGAATTTAAGTGCAGTACTAGATTGGCAGCTAGGTCTCATCATTTTACTACTGAACTAGCAAGATGAAACCATATGTTCTATTCTAATAGTTTTTTTATTACCTGTGGAACTGCATCCCAATTTCTTGCTTCCTTGCAACCTACAATCCTCAAAAATTTAAATCCATTGCTAATCGTCATCATCTGTCTTCCTGCTCTTTTATTGTCCTTTCTCCCAACTTTTAATATATATATATATATATATATATATATATATATATATATATATATATATATATTCTTTCCATTGTAGTTTTATGTGATAACATATTACTCTCATTTCAGCTGGTGCCCCCAATTACTTTCCTAACAGTTTTTCTGGCCCTGTTGACCACAAACGCCACACTGAATGTCCATTCAAAATTAGTGGAGATGTTATGCGCTACAATACTGCAGATGAAGATAACTTCAGCCAAGTAGGAATATTCTACAAACAGGTTTGTTATCTTTATATTACACTAAGGATGTGTTATTTTGACTGTTAATGAAAGTTTTTAAGAACACTGAATTCTTTTAATACCATTGTTAAGAGGAGCGATGTTCATATATTGGTGGCAACTATTATCTCTTGTTACAATAACAATGGAATATCTCATCTCAAATAGAGGAAATAAGGATGTCTGACCAATGAATATAGAAACTCACACAGTGTTTTATATATATATATATATATATAAATATAATAGGTAGAAATGTTAAACCCAATAATATTAATAAACAAGTTAATCTCATTATATATTATAAAAAATTTAAAGCAATTGACCTCATAGTCTCTGATAACCTTACAACCACACAATTCCTCTACAAAAAAAACAATATAGTGTATCAATTTATATGCCTGTTCAGAGATTTTATCTCTGATACTAATAATAAACCCACTACATACATTGGTTTTACTACAACCACACTCTCCCATAGACTTACCTATCACCTTTCTGATCTTAATAAAATAAATGAGGTGGGTAAAAAAGAAAAGAAGACTGACTCTTCTTCTTCCTCACTCTCCTAAAGGAAATAGATTTGGGGGCTCTATTTCTTTGCCACCACACTGGCACTTTTCAGTTGACAAAGTCAGTCACATCTCTTTCACCTTCTTTTTTCATGTCAATCCACTTGTCAGACTAGCAAATGTAATCCACCTAAGAAAGAAACCTCCCCGTCGCTCTTAGCATCTAACTTCTTATGTCTTCTCAAGCAGGCCAGAATTTGTATATGTGCAAATCCCATCTTGTAGAGATGAGACAAGCACTCGTAAATTGCACCCCCAAGAGCTGCTATATTTTCTTTTCAGCACTTTGCATGCAGTAAGTCATTTCTTTTGGGGTAAGTCATTTCTTTTGTCAAAACACCTATTACTACTACATAGTTCCATTAAACAACATTTCTTAGAAAAACATAGCCATGTACATAATATTAGACAGATATTACTTGATAACACAACAATACTCACACATACACACAGTAAAAAGAACCTTCAGATATTGGAGGCTATCTACATTAAAACAAAGAAACCCACACTCAACAAAATTACATTTCAAACCAGTCACAACATATTACAATGCATTTAATCATATGGTTTATTGATAACATTTCTTTCTCTGATGTGGTCATCTACGACATCATAGAACCGTATTATAAATTTATGACCTGCGTCTACTATTCCACGACCATTATCATCGCATAGTAAACTTCTATGTAAACAAAACAGTATGTCATCTTTGACAGTGAACATCTCTGTTGTTATGTCCATATAACCACTCTGATGATGGCTCAAATGAGCTGAAAGCTTAGATCGACGTCCAATATAATAAAGAAATATCCAAACATTGGACAGTTTTTGTCTTTATTTTCTCTTGAAACTAAAGTCAACATACAATGCTGAGAAAGGTTCATGATAAAACATAATAGACATTCATTGTCTGTTATATTTAACAATATATGTTTGTATATATATATATATATATATATATATATATATATATGAAACATATATATGGAGACATTTTTCATTGAATAATTTAGAAAAGTTTTGTCTACTTATTTTCAAATAGATCCTTTCACATTCGCGGACAAGCTTTTTGATGTCATTATTAAAGGAAGAGAGAAAATCGACATGTTGAGGCATATTATTTTATTCCAAGTACTTTCGACATAGCACAATGTCATCATCAGGGTGTTGTTTATTTCAAGACAAATATTGTAGTGTTCATCATTTTCAAAGACATATTTGCTGTGTTCACCTGAAAGTTAAATTTTTTTACTTGTGAAGTGAAGAACGTTGAGTCAGTACATGATTGTTAGACACTGCTTCAGGGGAGGTAACTAAGTATGGTTTGTCAAGTGAATTTAAGAAATAGGTATTAAAAATATTAGTGCAAAACTTGATATTTTAAACTATTGTACACATTTTAAAACAGTTGTGCAGTATTCATAATTAATTTTATTATAGTTTGGTTTCAAATTAAAGAAATTATGAAAATAATAATATTCGTCTATTTGAACCTATAGAGAATCCTTTCCACTACGGAGTGGTAAACCTTGTCATATCCTTTGACAACAAGCTGTTTTGTTTTTTTTTTTTTTTCATTCTTTTTAAATTTTATACTGCAGTAATTCTCTATAACACATTATAAATGCTTACAGCCATATCATGTTAAAACACTAATTCTCACCCAATCACCCAAAGTTGAGCAACATCAAGCCTGCTTCACCTGAAAGTTAAAGTTTAGTATCTAGGTGGGTGACTGATTGGGTCATATAGCTTTGATTAGCAACCTGTCTGACATAAAAAATAATAGCAGCCTACTGTAGGTATTTTAGTGCCAAGTCAATCATGAATTGAAAATAGACATGTTCACTCAAGCGTACATCACAGATTGTTTCTTATGAAGGAAAAATCATATGTAGAAATTGAATTTTAATTAATTCAAATTTGGTTTTGAATTTTTTCATAGATTCATAGATTATGGCACTTTTAATTCATTGTTATTTCATTAAATTATATTGACATTTTATTAAAATGGCATTTTTCGGGTCAAGATGGTGACCCTGAATGTTCTGGTGGCATGCATGTGTATTGAGTGTGTTGCTTAATTTTAAGCATATATTTCTCTCTTTAAATTTTGGGGTGTTTTGCTGGTGTATTTGAGATTATTTATATATATATATATATATATATAATTTTAGGTACCTAACAGAATGTCATTCCTACACCAGAATTTAATACAAGTAAATAGCATAAAGCAGACTGCTTGGGTAGTCATTAGCATTAGTTGAGTATGCATTTCTGTTGAGAAATGCAATCACAGCGTTTAAAGTCTAGAAACATATCAATACAACCTCAGATAATGCCCCAGATATGTTTTTACCAATTAAAAGGTGACATTTTAACAATAAAAAGCAACTATTAAACTGTTTGTATAATATTCTTGTAAGTGGAATAAAATTAGTTAAAATCTCTCCTGTTTTAAATATTTTTGAATATGTTCTTTAACTAATAATTGCTCCATCTGACCTTATACAGTTGTGGTTTAAGGGAGTTAATATTTAAAGGGAGATAATTATGCATACACTTTTAATGTTAAACTATCCTATTGGAATCTATGACTTAGATAAATGATTGAAAAGGTCATAGTTATGACACATTGTTATAAAATAAAATAAGACATATCTCGGCTGATTTACAGGCAAATAAACTAACATACTCAAGAGCGAGAGCCGGGTGTGAATGGGGCAAGGCCCCATCACAAAATGTTCCCGACGCACGAGTTCCAGTCGAAAAATAAAATAATATTTTAAAGTGTTTCTATTTTTCGACCAATAAAAATGCTTCCCTCCTAATTATACTCATGTCGTTTTTTGAGCCTGTTAAGCTATAAAAAAAACGCCATAAAAAGGGTCACACGGAAATACACCAGGAGTCAACGGGAGGCTAGGGAAGAGACCTGTCACGGTCAGGCTGAGCGGTCAGCAGCAGCCAGCAGCAGTAGCAGTAGCGCCATGCCAACCAGCAAGAACTACTATGAGAGATCAACCCAGATCTTCAGCCGGCCTATGAACTTTACCACAAGGTAGCTGTTCCAAAACCACACGTTCCTATTGAAATAAATCACGTAAATCTATTTCTGCTGTTGTCGTATTTCTTTCTTGCAACCATACGCTTGTCCATAACAACATGCTTAATATTTTTGCAAAATCAGTCTTTTATTCATCATTTATTTCTAAATTTTTCCTGTAAGGTACTAAACCAAGCTGAACGCAAGAGACTGGTGAAAAACATTGCCAATCATTTGATTGGGGCACAGGAATTTCTTCAGAAAAGGGCAGTTCATAATTTTGGACAAGCAGATCCTGAATATGGACAAACACTGCAAGAAGAGCTTGATAAACTAAAAAGAAAAAAAGGAGTAAGTATTTTTATTTCCTCTCATAATGTCTTTAAGAAGATTTACTCAAAACTTCCGAGATGGACCAAAATTTCTCCAGTCACATTGACCAGTTGAAAAAGTCTCTATACTTATTTAAGTAAATATTGTTTTTAAATAAACAGTATTAATTACATTTTCCGGCCTGAATGTTCAAGAAATTTTTTAGAAAATATGTGTTCTCTGATACATTTCATGAGCGAGAAAAATTGTCAAAGATTGTGTGTTTATAAACAGTAATTCAAATTTTGCTAACCAGACGCTTTATGAACACACAATCTTCGATTTTTCTCAATTACGAAATGTATCAGAGTACATATATTTTCTACTAAATTTTTTGAACATTCAAACCAGTAAATGGAATTAATACTATTTAATTAAAAACAGAGCATTTACTTAAATACATTGTATCTATAAACAGAAAATATATGAAATAATTGTCAAGCTTAATCCATTTCATTATATGTTGTCATTGTTTACATTAAAGTGAACAGAAATGATCGATCAAGAAAAATCATCAAAGATTGTGTGTTTATAAACAGTAATTCAGATTTTGCTAACCAGATATTTCTCTGTGGCTGAATGGTACAGCGCATCAGGTCAAATGATAGTTTCTGTATAGGATTACAGGTTCAATTCCTGTCAGAGAACACATATTTTCTATGAAATTTCTCAAACATTCAGGCCAGAAATTGTAATTAATACTGTTTAATTAAAAACAGAGCATTTACTTAAATACATTATATCTATAAAATTAATGTATAAACAGAAAATATGTTAAATAATAGTCAGACTTAATCCATTATATATTATATATATATATATATATATATATATATATATATATATATATATATATATATATATATTATAAATTAATTGATTTAAAATATGTTTTTTTTTTCGCTACACAGAACTGAGTAGTGAAAAAAACATATTTTAAATCAATTAATTTATAATATTAATGCTCTGTAAATTTACATCGTAAAAATTGTAAAAATAAAAATATCTATAAGAACACCGGATTATATATCTTACTGTTCTTTCTTTTTATTTATATATATATATATATATATATATATATATATATATATACACACACACATGCATACATACACTATAGTTTTTTTTATTTTATTTTCTCTTCCAGATGCCTTCCAACTCTGTCCAGGCCAATTTGTAACAAAATAATATTCCAGAAGAGACAATTTTATTTCATCTTTCAATTCCTTGACAATAATTCTCTGCTAAAACAGAAGCATGAAAATAAATGAATTCGGAATTCTTGATTCTGGCTCAAAAATGAATTATAGACCATTTGATTTTAATTCATTTTGTTTCAATCCTCAGATAAAGAATTTATTTGCTAAATTAAGGGAAGGAATCAACTTGGTACCATTTATGTTATTCAGAATCAAAAAAAAATCAATGTAAAAATTCAAATGTTATAGCTTTCCTCTTTTATTAATATCTGAGTATAGTACCCATAAAAAATGGGTGCATTATTTACATATAGATCAGCATTTCTACCTGAGGTCATAGTATTTGTGTGGTCTCGGATCAAGGTATCTTACCCAAGTCTTTTGCCTAGGAACAATATCTGTGCACTCTGCCTAGAATTGAGGGGCTGATTCCTGGTACTTCTGTCTAGGATAAGAATGTGTTACTTGTGCTCTCTTTGAAAAATGTTATATATATATATATATATATATATATATATATGTATGTATGTTAGTGAATATACATATTATCCAACGTCAATAACACTACTCAGAATTTCATGCAGTATATGCAATCTTCAGGTGTGGATTCTGACCACATATATAAAATTTAATAGGTGAGTTAATGAAATTCAAGGAATAGAAGGACAAAATGATAAAAATATTATCAATATGACTAAAATTATTTATTTTATATTAGTAGAGCTCTTGACTAAAATGAAGCACAAAAAGAGAGATTTTAAATTCAGAAATTTTGGGGTACATTTGACAATGAGACAAGAAATAAACAATGATGTGCGACTCTCTTTTCCAGGGAATTTGTTGTTGTTTTTGTTTTTTGTTGTATTATTGTAAGAAATTTGATAGTTTTGGCCTAGTAGTTTGCCACAGTTAAGGTTGTGTAGGGTTTGTAGAAGGCTTTCTGTAGAAACTGTATTCTCTCATTAAGCCTAAATCCTTGTTTAATCCTATAATATGCAAGTATATTTTGAAAATGTATTTTAACACAGACTTTCACTGTTCCTGTTCGCAATT